GATACTAGGCAACTGCCACCACCAAGCCACACCCCAGCCCTCACTGGGGGATTCTAGGCAGGTGCTCTACCACTGAGCCACACCCCAGCCCCTCACTGGGGGATTCTAGGCAGGTGCTCTACCACTGAGCCACACCCCAGCCCCTCACTGGGGGATTCTAGGCAGGTGCTCTATTCCTGAGCTCCAGCCCAAGTCCTTTTTCTATTTTTCATTCTGAAATATGGTTTTCCAGGTTACCCAGGCAGGACTTCAATCTGCTATCCTTCTGCCTCAGCTGGGACCACAGCGTGCACTGCCTGGTGCACGACTTCGTTTCTGAAGGCCTCTCACTGAATTAGCGCCCCCGCTCCAGGTTCCTGCAGACCTCTGCAGCGTGCTGCTGCCGTTACCCAAAAACAACACAGGAGCCCTAGAGTCTTGTCCCTTACTCCTTCTAAAAGTCTCACTTTAGGAGGCGCAACAGTGCCCCCTGCTGGAATCTTCTCACCAGCCACGATTTCTGCAGTTTGACTTAAGGTTGTGGCATGCTGAGACAGGTGTGAGAACACAGCCTGACCCCCCCCATACGTCAACTCACTGCACAGACATTTATTGAGCACTTACGATTGGCTACCACGCTACCTGTTGCAGATTCAGGGCAACACACACACACTATCTGGGCCTTCATACAACTCCCCAGTTCCCACTTAGTTCCGTAGCCCCCCCACCTTGGTCTGGATTGATCCGGAGGCGTCCCGAAAGCTGGGGGCTTTGCAGCCACCCGTGGATACCACCGGTCTCAAAATAGCAATCCTCCGGCCTCATCCTACGTGTCCGAGTTACCGGAGTGCGCCACTACCACATCTGGCCCAGTATGATCCTTAAATATTATTTATAGAAGTGTATTTTCTTGCAGTGTTCAAGCACATAATACTAACTGAAATAGGAATGTGCAGATGTGAGTACCAGCTCAAAATAACTCAAAAAGACGTAACCTCCGAAATCACTGGCTATTTACAGATTAGCAATCCGTTGTCTGCCTGGCAGCTATTTCGACAGCCCCACCCGCTGATGACGTCATGCAGTCAGAGTGCCCCCAGTCAACCACTGTGCGCACATGCGTGCACAAGGTCTACAGGGCATCAAGTGTCCTTCTCTGTTACTCTCTACCTATAACCACGAGGCAGGGTCGGTCACCGAACCTGGAGCTAGCCTGGCAGCAGCCGAGCCCCCGACTCTGCCCCCCACCCTTACAGTTCTGGTACACGTGACCACGCCTGGCTTTTTTATATGGTTGCTGGGGGTTCGAACTCTGGTTCCTCGCGCTCGTAGAGCGAGCATTCTTACCCACGGAGCCATCTCCCCAGCCCCCCCACTCACCCTCTTCTCTCCCCTTATGAATGTGTCACATCCCATCTCCTCCAAATACTTCTCATAGTTGTTACCCATATAAATCCATCCCTCTAACTGACACAGTCTGCTCCGAATCCATCCCTCTAACTGACACAGTCTGCTCCGCTGTCCCTGCCATGCAGCAGTCTCCAGTTAAGGACAGGAATACAGAAGGCAGCTGTGAAGGTCCTTGCAAATACTTTTCTGCTACTGAATTATTTTTCCAGAATGTACTCCCCAAAGTGGGATAACAGCCCCCCCCCCCACATCCCCAGTGCTAGAGATTGAATAAGGAAGCGTTCTCCTACTGAGCACTCACGGGGGAATTCTAGGCAAACCCTCCAACCTTGGTGGATTCTATGCAGGCGGAGATTAGCGTAGTTCCACAATCATTCAAAAAGAAAAAAAAAAAACCTCTGTGGCAAAACATTGACAAATGTCTCTCCGGGAGGCATTATTTTACAGTGCCAGGAATCTACATGTTTCTCCAGAACTTTGACTTCATCTTTGGTGCATGCCAGTGGTTTTATTTAGTGAATTCCTTTTCACTTTAGCAGTCCTTGCTGGTAGATTCTTCCCCTGGGTTTATGAACTATTTTGTTCCTTGTCCAAACTGGCCTCTTATTTTAACGGGTACACTAGTGATTTAGCTTTTCTTTCTTTCTTTTTTTGGGTTTTTGAGACGGGGTTTCTCTGTATTGTTTTGGAGGCTGCCCTGGAACTCGCTCTGTAGACAAGGCTGGCCTCGAACTCACAGAGATCCGCCTGCCTCTGCCTCCCGAGTGCTGGGATTAAAGGTGTGTGCCACCAACACCTGGCAATTTAGCTTTCCTTTATCAAATTAAAATTCCATGTTGTTTGTAACCTTATCAGTTTCCGTGTCTTCCTTCATACTTTGCTGTGTATACATTTTATATCTGTTTTAGACTGAGCCAAGCAAGGCCTCAGGTAGCCTAAGCTGGTTCTGGATTTGGTCCCTGCCTCTACCTGACGGCTAGGATTACAGGTATGTACTATACCTGCTTTGATTCAGTGCTGGAGATGAAACCAGGCCCTCCAGTGTGCTAGGCCAGCACTCCACCAGCTGAGACTAGCCCAGTCTGCGTTTCGGTTTTGAGTCTCTGGAGTCTAGGCTGGCCTCCACCCCCCCACATCCTGGGATTACAGGCTCGCACCACCATGTCCAGCACTTAAAATGTATTATGTAATGGAAACTGATCATCTGGACCTTAGTGATTTCCTGCACTGGTTTCTACAAACAGGGAATGTGTCCCCTAGGAAGAGACGTCCCTTTTCAGCCCCTAAACATTCCATCTGGACTTGTCCCAAAGCCCCCGGGTCCCACACGCACCGTGTCACCATCCCAAACCTAAGTTTCTCTTGTCCTTTCTCCACAGCTCCCAGGGAGACACGTGTCCCACGGTCACCTCTTCCAAAGCTGCCACCACAGATCAAAAGGACAATGGTGGCCGCTGCTTGCCCCCAACTGTATCCTCTCTAGATTCTGACACCCCCATCGTAGTCCCCCAACCCCCATGGTGACTTTCCAAATTCCTCTTGGCACTCCAATCCCATCCTGGCCTTTAGGCTTCGGGCAAACATTTCTGAAAAGGAATTTTGCCAGGAAAGCTAAGGAAAAGCAATAAGTAAGATCCTAGGAAACATGTAGAAAGCATGAGAAAGGTATTAGATTACAGAGATTTCATATCCTACTTAGCGTCACTTCTGATTGGCTAAACTGTTTTGTCTGTCGCCTCTAACATTATATATTAAAGATACCCATTTAGTTGTATATAAAATTTCCACTCTTTGCAGCTAAGCATCACTACCGACTCCCACTGAGCCTCATACTGGCCTTAAAAGAAATACGGTTTCTCTTATTCCAGAGTAAGGAAACGTGGCTGGGTTTTCATGGATCTTGAAATATGGGGACACTGTTCCCCCCTTAATCTCTGCCTCCCAGGCCCCAGCTCACCTGGGCAGGTGGGAAGATGGAGGGAGAAGTGACCATCTGTGCGTCTCGGACTCCAAGGCCTGAAACTTGCTCAAGTCCTGGTCTGCAGGAGTCCCTGCATTTCCTGGAGGCCCAGGACATCGACCAGGAAGGATCCGATGCCCCCTGACCATCTTCAGACACTGACTGTCTCCCAGAGACTTTGGACATCTTTTTGAAGGAATGGATAATGATGTAGGCGTGGACCTCGGTCACTCACCGGGGCACTGGGCATCCTGAGGGTGGCATTCCAGGGCAGACTGTTATCTTTGAAAGGATTCTGCTCTCCTGCTTTGAAGAACTTCGGTTGGCAGACCAGAACCGGTTGATGTAAACTTGGACCACCCTGGGGTGTCAGTGGGCTTCACCAGCAAACACAAGCGCCCCCACTCCATCAGCCGCTGTGTCTCAATCCAGCGGATCTTACCCAACACAACACCTATTGTCATTGTTTCTGGGGGTCTTGATGGCTTGTTGTGGGTGCTGAAGGTGCAGTCCATGCACTTGGCTGAGCACTCAAGGATGTTCACAAAGTCCAACCCTGCAGATGCTCTCCTCCTCCGGACAGGATCCCACGAGCATCGATGCTGACACCTCTCGGCCACCATCTGGGAAGGTTACCCTCTTACAGGGGGCATCCTCAGCGACCCAACCGAACGTGTGGCCAGAGAAGGAGCTTCTGTGGGACAGAGTCCAGTTTTTCTACACAGTCTCTGTATGCAGCCCAGGCTTAGGCTCAAATGTATGATCCTCCTGCCTCAGCGTCCCACGTGCTGGGAAATAGGTGTTGTGATGCCACATCTGGATTTAATCTCGCATCTACGGTCTCTGCTTGTGCCTGCACTCCCTGGCCCCTGACACTGGAAACCCACCCCCCTACTTCACTAAAGAAGTCTCTACTCCCTGCCGGAACACGGCAATGTTATCGCCATTCTCAGATCTCTGGCATCGTCTGACCTCATGTGCCCCCGCGAGAACGGCCGGTTTTCACTCCATTTCCACCATGTCTTGACGTATACTGGGTCTTCCTTTCCTTGGAGAATGACATAGATCTCCCTAGGACTCTCTTTTATCCGCTCCATCAACCCCCCACCCCCACCCCCCACCCCAGGGAAGAGGGAATGCCTAGGAATTGACCTCAGGACTTCCTGCAGGCTAGACAAGCCCTCTACCACTGAGCCCCTCCCCCAGCCCCTCAACCGGGGGATTCTAGGCAGATGCGCTGCCACTAAGCCACGCCCCCACTCCTCATTGGTAGAATCTAGACAGGCCCCTACTATTGAGCCACTCGCCCCCCCCCCCCAGACCCCTGAGTTCTAGACAGGTGGCCTACAGAGGAGTCATGACCCCATCCCAGGAATGGTTTTGAAGAATACAAAACAAGAATCACTTATAAATCTCAAGACACCTAAACTACACAGCAGCAGCCACAGCTGCAGGAATCAAAAGGAAGCAGTTGGGCTGACTTCCGGCGCCTGCTGTGTGCACAGGGAGGTTAGGGTCACACCGCTACTGGTACTGCTCTCCTACCCCAATACATCACAGAAGGAGCGAGCGTTTTGTCGGCTGGGAAATCACCCTCGGCTCTATCACCTCGTGGGTGCCCTCCCGCCCTTCCCACCTGCCCCGCCCCCATCCCAGCCCCAAGCGCCTTTAACTATCAGGAAACCTGACCCTAAACACGTGGATAGTCCCGTTACTGAGGGACACCACTAGGTATTTGCCATCGACCATGGTGGTTACCCGGGGCTTTTCCAGGCCATGATATGCTGTTAGGAAGTCACCAAGAAATGACCCCTTGGGGTCCAGGATCACCACCTTGTTCACCTCTCGAAGGGTCAGAAATATGTAGCCTTTCTTATCCACAGACACAGAACCTGGCTGGCAGCCGTGTAAGCCGGGGCCCTTGTATTCCCAGATCACCTGGCCTAGTCCATCACAGAAAACCACGCTGTTCTGCTGCCAATCCGACCCTACAAAATTGCCCTGGGGGCTGGTGGTCAGGAACACCAAGGCCCGCTGGCCCCGGCTAGCCTTGCCCCCCGGGGATAAACCGGGTGGCCAGACTGCCCTCCTCCTTGTACACCTCCACGTGGCCAGCCACGCTGACCGCCACCCGCTCTCCACACGGCATGGCGGCCACGGCGTGGCTGGACTGGGTTTGGCTCAGGGATCTGCGCCACTGGACGGCCCCCTCGGGGCTGACGAGATAGAGCCTCGCATTGGCGGAGAAAGCCACCGCGTTCTGCAGGGCGGCCACGCTGCACGGGGCACAGCCTTCGGGGACCGGCACCATGCCCTTGTAGTCGCCGTTGAGCGAGAAGCGCTTCAAGACCCTGTTCTGCTCATCCGCTACCAGGATCTCCTGGGGGCCGTAGGGACAGAGCCCGGTGATGCGAGGGGAGCGTTTGTCGCCGGGCATCCTCGTGGGGAAGCTCCAGGAAAACACGGGCCGGGGGAGGAGGGCTGCACCCTCCAGGGCTGGCCTGAGGATGGGGCTGGGCTCCCGAGAAGGGGGCCTGCCCCTCCCTTTGGCCTTCTTCTTCTTGTTAGGTCTGCTCCCCCTCTCGACATGGACGTCGTCATCCTCCTGGGGGTTCTGGGCTTTGCCTTCTTTGGGAGTCAGGGCTGCATCCTTGCACGGGGACTGGGCTCCGCCCTGCTTCCCTACTGTCCTGGTTCTCTCTTCCGCTTGGCTTCGAGCCTCATCTCCTCCTTGGGTGCCGGCGGCTCCAAGCTTCTCGTTGTCCCCCCGGGACTGTTTTGGTTCCTCGAAGGAGAGTCGCAGCAGGTGGCAGTTCTTGTCCTGGAGCCCAGGGTGCAGCTGCAGCTTGGGCAGCACGCAGCGGGTGGGCCCGGGTGTCCAGGGAGACTCTTGGAGCTGGCGCAGGCGCTGCGTGATGGCCCCTTCCAGCGACAGGATCTCGGCCTCCAGGCCCAGGCTGAGCACTCGGCGGGCGAAGGCGGCGGCCGCCTTGGCCACTTGCTCCTGGCTCTCTATCTTGGTCAGCCTCTCCCTGGTGGCCTCCTCGGCGGTCTCCACAAGGGCCCGGAGCTGTCCCAGCACTTCCTGCTTCTGGGCCAGCAGGGACTTGAGGATGCGTTCGGCGGCCTCCTCCACCTGCGCGCCCACACTGGCCGCCTGCTCCCGCAGCTGGGCTAAGGCTTCCTTCTCGGCCACCCGGGTGGCCTCCAGCTCCACCAGGTTGCCGTCCACCCCCGCCAGCAGCTCCTCAAGGCCCGGCTTCCGGGAGCGCACTGCCTCGGCCAGGGGCAGGCAGGGGTGGTCGAGGTGGGGTCCCAGGCGGCAGTCCTTGCAGAGCAGCTGCGAGCACGGCTGGCACAGGAAGCAGAGCGCCTCCCCGGGGTGCTGGGGGCACTGGGACGCCTGGCGCTCGCGAGCCTCCTCGTCATACCACCCGGCCCGGTAGCCCACCAGGTCGACCACGCGGTGCTTATGGGTCTGGCGGGAGCAGCGGTGGCCGTCGGCGCAGGCCTGGCACAGGTCGTCCGCGCAGTCCAGGCACCGGGCGGTGGCGGGGCCCCCGGAGCTCTTGCCGCCCACCAGAGGGCACAGCGCGCAGGCTGGCTTCCCCGAGTGCACGTCTCCGGGAGCCCTGGCCTTGACGAGGTCCAGGAGCCCGTTGACGAAGAAGTTGGTCTTGAAGGCGGCCACACCCTCGGGCGGCACAGGCACGGTCTCCCGACACTCGGGGCAGCGGACCCGGCCGCCCACGTCCAGCTGGGCCAGGCAGTCTTGGCAATAGGTGTGCAGGCATGGCAGTGTCTTGGGCGTGTGCAACTGCTCCAGGCAGATTTTACAGGCCAGGAAGTCGCTGCTCAGAGCCTCGAGCAGAGTAGGGGAGGAGATGTTGGAGACCATGCTGTAAGGGAAGGGTCAGAGGTCAGAGGTCAGGGGCACCCCAACCACGCCCCCGTCTTGGTTTCCTCCGCCCCCTTCAGCCCGGGCCCTCCCCGACTCTTGGCTGGTGTCCCCGCTCACCTGAGGCCGGGGAAATTCTGGCTTCCGGAGGCACTGGATGGTAGGATAAGGCGGTCTTCCCCACTTCTCCACAGCGCCGGATGTAAGCATGCAAAGGCCGTTGGTAGTGCTGAGTCTGTCTGTGGGGGAAATGAGACCAGGAGGCCCCCAGGCCTCAGAGATGCAGTAATCTCATTATTAACACGCCAGGTCATGGGCCACGGGGCAGGGTGGCCAAAGCCCTTCCGGTTTCCCGTAGCCCAGGCTGGCCCCAAACTTGCTCCGCACCGTAGGATGACCTTGGGCTTCTGGGAACTTCCTGCTTCCGCTTCCCGAGCCCTGGGATTGCAGGTGTGTGCGGTGCGGCCCATCAGCTTATGCGGCACCAGGATGGGGCTGAGGCTTCTGGTACGCCAGGAAAGGGCTCTAACTAGTGAGCTACACTGCCAGGTTCTGGCCTCAGTCTGAACCACGGGCTCGTCCCACCCCATTTACCGTGGTATGGGGGTCCTGCTATGAGCGACTCTAGGGCTAAAGGGACAGCCAGTGAGGACACGCAGGGCCAGGCGCACAGAAACACCGGCTTTTCGGTGTCCTACGGTCTTGGTTTCCTTTGTCTAACCTGTCTGTCTGGGAGTGTGTCCTGGGAGGGTGGGGGCCCACTTCCTGCGCCAACTATTTTTGAAAGTAATTTCAGAACAAGGCGCAAGGGGAAAGCTCACCTCCTACCTCCCACTGGACCTCAGGGCCACTGAGATCTGGCCTTACCTCCTGGAGTCTTCCAATGTTACCCTTTCCTACCAAACGCGTTCTAGACGCTTCTGGAGGGAAGGCATTGCAAGTCCCCAGCACGGCGGGGACTTCATTTAAAAAACGCCAGTGGAGGAGGAGGCTAGCCTTGGTTACGAAGTGAGTTTCAGGACAGCCTAGGCTACAGAGCCAGCTCCGGCTGAGCCTGAGCTACAGAGATAAACCCAGGCTTAAAAGAGGGTGAGAAGTAAATAAATACTGCTTGATTGCACTTTTTCTTGCCCCGGGTGGCGAGGGGAAGCTGGGGGGGGGTGCGGTTGTCGGTACTCAGGGAGTGTAGGACTCCGGGGACACAGGGTGGGAGGTCGAGGGGCAGGGCCTGCCACCTGGCTAGTCCTCTCCGGCCTACCGGCTCCCCGCCCTTTCTCCCCTCCCTTCGAGTTCCTCTCCCGGGCTTTCTCACTCCCCTCCCCTCCCCTCCCTCTCCTCCGCCCAGCCTCGTCTTTCTGGGTCCCGGCTCTTTCCCCCGTCTCTCCTTACCCAGCCACAGCCGGCCTTGGACTTCCCCAGCAGGGCCCGGGAGCCCCGAAATCCCGCTACCGCCGGCAGTTGACTACCTGCGAGAGAAACAAAACTGAAAGTAGCCGTACTGTGGTGCAACTTCCGTCCCCGGCCCGGGACAGCCACTCCGGGGCGCAAGCCCCGCCTTCCTCCCCACCCCACCCTGCAACGCTGCCTTCCAGGCCGGCCAGGGCAGTAAGGCGGGACCCCCTTCCAGAAGGAAGGTCTGGGGGCCTCAGGCCAGCATGCCCAGTGGCCCCTGGCTCAAGCTGCCAGCTGTGTGTGTGTGTGTGCGTGTGTGTGTGTGTTTGTGTGTGTTGTAAACAAGACAGTACCCCAGGGTGGGTTCTCTGAGCGTGGCTATTGGGTCAGGATGTTTATGTGTGGGAAGGAATGACAGATGGTGATCCCTCCAGTGGGCGAGGCTCCTCCGTTGCTCCTTCGCTAACCACAGTTGAAGCTGTGCGCCCCAGATAAGAACACCATTTCCAGGGCTTAGCGCAGGCTTCCTGGAGGAGGCTTTATCTAGAGATATGTTTGAGGAGGTCTCAGAGCTTTGGGGTTCCCGGGACAAGGGCGTTCTGAGAGCAGCAAGTGTGCCGGGGGCAGGGGGTGGGGGACGGGGTCCAATGAGATCCAAAATCCTGAGCCAGGTGCGGTGGGCCGAGGCTCCAACCCCAGCACTTGGGAGGTAGAGCGCGAAGAGCAGGGGTTTGGGGCCAGCCTCAGCTACTTAGGACGTTTAAAGGCCCATGGGAGCTACTGGATCTCTCGTGTGGAGGACAGGAAATCACTCAGGTGGTGCCTGACTTAAGATAGTTCACCTTGATACTCTTTCTACTCCCCACCCCCAGTGTTCTGCTTCACGGCGGTGTAAAAGCAATACGTTCAGTTTTAACTGAACTCATGTTGGTTTTTTTATTCTTTTTATTTATTTAGACACGGTATTGCTGCCTCACCTAAGCTAGCCTCAAATTCAAGATCCTTCTGCCTCAGCCTCCCAAGTGTTGGCACTGCAGGTGTGTACTACCACACTATCTTTGAACTGTGATATTGAGGCTAAAAAAAATGACTCTTAAGGGGAGGCCTGGAGAAGTCAGAGAGCATAGGGTGGGTGGACCGAGGATGTGTCCCGGTTGGTAGCGTGCTTGCCTAGCATGCATGAGGCCCTGGGTTCCATCCCCAGCACCCCATAAACCAGCGGTGCACACCCGTAACCCCAGCACTCGGGAGGTGGAGGCCGGAAGGTCGAGTCCAAAGTCATCCTCAGTATACAGAGAATTCCAGGCCAGCCTGAGATCCATGAGAGCCTGTCGCAGACAAACAGCGAACAATGTGGACTCTGGAGCACCGGGCAGGATGCTCACTCCCAGTCTGATTAAAACCTCTTGCCAGCGGAGAAGCAAGAACCCCAGCAGAGCTAACAACTGTTCTGTGAAGGTCACCAACTCAAACCTGTGTTTGAAAAGGGGCTATCGAGAAGGCTCAGCAAATAAAGGTGCTTGCCACCAAGCCCAAGGACCTGAGTTCAAGTCCCCGATCCCACACGGTAGAAGGAGGAATCCACTCCCATAAGCTGTTCTCAGACCCCGACTCCTACGCATGACACTTGTGTGCCCACACACGTTAGTAATCTAGTTAAATTCGTTTTGTTCTTTGAGACAGGTTTTTCCTCTGTGTGACAGCCCTGGCTGTCCTGGAACTCACTCTGTAGACCAGGCTGGCCTCGAACTCACAGAGATCCGCCTGCCTCTGTTCCCAAGTGCTGGGACTAAAGGCGTGCGCCACCAACGCCCAGCTTCAAGTTAAACTTTTAAAATGTGTTATCATAGCAATGAACTTGGCTTAAGACCTAAAAAATAGGGCCCTGTACACCTTTATCCCCTCCCAGCCAGCCTGTAACCAGCGGAAATCACGGCAGGCTCAGTGCTGTAACCAGCAGAAATCAGGGCAGGCTCAGTGCTGTAACCAGCAGAGGTCGCGGCAGGTGCGCATACTGTAAACTGTGTCTCAATCCCTTGTGCAAGCCTAGTGAGCCACGGTCTTCCCTTGTAGCTTGTGATCCCCCAGCAGCCCTTCCAGAGCCACCCAAATCTTATTTACTGATACAGGGTGAAGATAAAGAAGGGGAGCCCCTCGGGTGGGTGTCGGGGCCCCGAATATGATATTTCGGATATAGGCCTCAGTTCAGTTCCAGCATCTCGAATCTCCTGTGGCCTTTTAGATAGTTACCTCCGGATGGCCTCCTCACAGAGGAGAATGGCTTCTAATTTGTATAACAATAGACCTAGTCCTGGTGACTAGCGGAGGGTGCCCTTATGCTGAGGGTTTGTATGTGTGCATTCTAGGACCATCTCTAGGGTTAAAGGAAGAGTTTCCTAGTCAGCCCTTTACACATGATAGTAGTCTTCTGACAGTAACCCCCCAACACACACTTTTGGAAAGTTGTTTAAGATGATGCTGAACTAATCCGTGGTCTCCAATGTTAACTGAGAGCCCTCCTGAGATGATAAGATGTCTCTGTCTCCTCCTGAATGCCGCTGGGTAGCTAGGACTCCCTTGATCACACTCCCCCCCCCCACACACACTCAGGGTCGAACCAGGGCAGTTCCCCTGGTCCCGAGCACAGCCCCAAAGACATCAGTCCGGAATAGCTGGACCCTGCAGGGTAGGATGATACAGGCCACACCCCGGCAGATGGGTCCTCCAGGAAGCAGGCTCACACAGACCAGCAGGGGGCACGCTAGCACAGGCAGGCAGGCCTCACCAGACTTCCCAATTTTTCTTTTCTGTTCTCTCCTTTCACCCCCTTCTTCTTCCCCCTTCCCTCTCCCCTCTCTTCCCCTTCCTTCTCTCTCTCCCCCATTTCCTTACTTTTCCCCATTCTTATTCTTTCCTGACGGATTTTACTCAGCCCAGGCTAGCGCGAAATTCAGGATGTTATCCAGACTTGAACATAGAAGTCCCCTGCCTCAGCCTCAAAAGTTTCAGGTGTTACCATGTGTACCTCCAACCAGGCTTAATTTGGGCTTAATTTGCCCTTCTTTGAGTTTCTTGAGGTGAAAGCTTAGATCGTTCTTTCTTATTTAAATTTTTCTTTCTTTTTTTTCTTTGTTGTTGTTTTTGGTTTTTCGAGACAGGGTTTCTCTGTGTCTTTGGAGCCTGTCCTGGAACTGGCTCTGTAGACCAGGCTGGTCTTGAACTCACAGAGATCCACCTGCCTCTGCCTCCGGAGTGCTGGGGTTAAAGGTGTGCGCCACCAACGCCCGGCTGAAAAGTTCTAATATTTATGTATTCATCCGATTGTTTGTTATTTGTGCTCGAACATGCTGCATGCAGTGTGTGGAGCTTTAGAGGACAATTCTCTCCTCCCGCCATGGGTGAGAGGGGTCACGGGGACTGAACTCAGGCTGTCAGGCTTGGTGGTAAGCACCTTTATCATCCGTCCCTCTTACCTGAGATAAGCTTTTAAAGCTGTACGCTCACCTTGAAGCATGGAGTTATTTGCCTACAGTCTCTGCTGGCCAGTGCTCACCGTCTAGCTCTCAGAGGCCTGAGGTAAAATAAAATAATCACCATTGAGTGCATTTACAAATCCTGGCGTATTTGAAGCCCAGACTGGCCTTATAGTTCACTGGCTAGCAGAGGCTGGCCTCTGGAGTGCTGGGCTACAGGTGCCCACAACCGCTCATGGCTCCATTCACGTTACTTCATTCTGTGGTATAAATATCCCTACGCTGGTGGATTTAAAGATGTCATTGTGAAATTACAAAACATAAATTTGGTAAGAGACTGGAAGAACTTCCCACGAGCCAGTACAAACAGACTGACGTGTGGCTTCCTGCCGCCTAACTTTAGCTGTTTTTCTCTTTTCTGTTTAAAAGGGAATTCTTTGTCACAGCTGTTTATCTCGAGCGTGTGTGTGTGTGTGAGTGTGTGAGTGTGAGTGTGTGAGCGTGAGTGTGAGAGCGTGTGTGTGAGTGTGAGTGTGTGAGTGTGTGAGTGTGAGTGTGTGAGCGTGAGTGTGTGTGAGCGTGTGTGTGAGCGTGTGTGTGAGCGTGTGTGTGAGTGTGAGTGTGTGAGCGTGTGTGAGCGTGTGTGAGTGTGTGTGAGCGCATGTGTGAGTGTGTGAACGTGTGTGTGAGTGTACGAGCGTGTGAGTGTGCGAGTGTGAGTGTGTGAGCGTGTGTGTGAGTGTGTGTGAGTGTGAGGGCGTTGCTGCACGTGTGCGCAGATCAGAGGACACCACATTGTGGGGCGCGGGGATCAAGCTCAGCTCACCAGGCTTGGTGACAAGCTCCTTTACAGCCGAGCCTTATCGTTGGCCCTTTATTTTGATGAAAATAGAAATATTTTGTAATTTACTCGTTACTAACCTTTTTTTTTTTTGATCCATGGGTTACTTAGAAGTCTGTTGGTCAGACTTTGTAGTGTGTATGCGGGGTGTGTGTGTGTGTGTGCGCGCGCACTCGTGCATGTGAGAGACAGCGCTCATGTGATGGGGTATGTGCGGTACGTGTGTGCTCATGTGACGGGGTATGTGCGGTACGTGTGTGCTCATGTGACGGGGTATGTGCGGTACGTGTGTGCCCATGCATGCCCTCATTGCTCTCCACTTTATTTCCCCAGGCACAGTCTGTCTGTTGAACCCAGAGTTCCCCGCCCCCCAGCACAGGGATTGCAGACTCCGCACTCACCCAGTGGATCCTGGCCTTGAACTCAGGTCTTCAAGCTTGCACTGCCCTCTTCTTACCAACTGACCCATCTTTCCCATGTGACATTTTTCCCCCCTCTGGGACCTTAGTTTATCGAGGGGCAGATGTGACTAACGCTATTTAAAGGGGGGAGGGGTCAGTGTTAGCTAGGTAGCACCTAGCCTCAACTGGACTTGTTCTTAGACCGAGTAAGCCCAGCACGGGGACAGGAAACCTTTGCCACCGCAGTCAGGGGACACAGCATTGTTCCAAAGGTCAGACAAAGTGTTTCAGGAAACACGGCAGTCTTCCAGGTTACACGACCGATCCCATGCATGACTAGCCTAAAATTTGATTTCTTCTCGCTCAATTTTTGCCGTTGCCTCCGTTCTAAGGCAACCACAATTCTTTTTTTCTT